GTGAAAGAGTACATCATAATTCAAAAGAAAAAATATTCCTGCTTTTCCTCCCATTCCTACCTACTGTGAGATAGTTATGCTGACTGCTGTGACACTATTGTCTTCATCTTTCCTATCAGTTTGTATCCGGCAACAACTTCCTTGGACCACATTGAAAAAAGGAGTCAGGGGCCTAATACAGTTCCCTGCCTGTAAGCCAGGTACTTATATATCCCACATTATAGTCCTGAAAACACCATCCACACCCTAGAAAATACTACGCACCTTGCGTACTATCTGAAGGTTACCTGGGTACATGAGAAAGCCAGAGGAATTAGGTGCTTTGTCAGGGGCTTTATTCTGACTTTTGCCCAAGGGTTGTATAGTGCAGACAACAACCTGCAGCAACACTTGGCACCCACATCCCTCCTGCCCAAAGGGCAAATGCTTGTAGAAAGAGATTTATTCTTTTCTGATCTCTCTTTAGCATCCTCCTTTCCTGTGTCTGTATGAAAGTATCCCAGAACAGCCTGTAGCTAGGAAGTTAGAGCACTCTCATGGCAGAAGCAGCTTGTGGATAAAGGACAGGAACTTGCATTTTTAAGGAATACAGTCAGCCTTGTTCTATGCTTTCAAGAGCAATGCAAGGTGCTGAGTGAATGCGGTGCCCAGCTCTAGCCTCCCAGGCAAGCTCCAGAAAGGGTAAGGAGGTCTGCCACAGCTTCATGGCCAGCGGTTTTAATGAGTAACTCTGTCTTTTGATCACATTATAGTCTTTCTCTGATTCACGTACGGCCCCTAGGCATCCCAACATAGTATATTTCATTTATTTGGCCAGGCACTTAGAAGCCAGTGCTGCCACACCTGATTTGGTAGGTTATTTTGCAACTATACCACTTACAGCTTGGTTAGGCAAGGATCCAAGCCTCCTATTACTCAGCAAGCAAAGCACTTGTCTTTGTAGACATCAAAATAACAAAACTATCAAGTTCAAGTAGATGGCAATTTCTCATGCAGACTAAGGTAACCCCCCAGCCTTAAAATTGATTCTAATGCCTCTGTGATAGATATATATATATGTATATAAAAATAATACAATAATTTGCAAGTTTGTCAGGCAATGAAAGGTAGTATATTTTGACACACTAATCCAGTAACTAATCAGTTTTCTAATAAACAATCAGCAGTACACTAATGTGTCATCAGCACTTCAGGAGCTCTGGAGAGTGGATGATCTGCACATAGACGTTAATGAATACCCCAAAAATCATTAAGTAATCAATACTTCTGAGTTATTTTCATTGAGCTGATAGGTCTGATACATTAAAGCTGACATTTTACATTTGTCAAGATCACAGTGCAGTTTTTAACAGTGGAACAGGCTGCTAAAAATATTCCATGAAAGACAATCAAAGAAACACAACTTAAAAGTGTTGACATTTTAGATTGGTACAGTAGCTTGGATGAATGATTCTGTAATGTCTGTGCTAAATGTTCCCAAAGCAGAACTTTCTTCCTAAAAATTACTAATGTGAAGAACATTCCACAATTATGCGTATGTGTAAATATCTTTCTTTTCTCTTTTTTTTTTTCTGTAAGCAGCTAGATCAGTGACAGTTCACTTTCTATCATTCACATCAGTGAAGAGAGAAAGATGAATATGAATTAGCTGAGCCCTTTGTTTTCCTCACTTCTCCTTTGAAGGTGAAGAATTCGTCGTAGTGATGCTTTTATGATAATCTTCTTTGAAGATAAAACATCACACAGCACCATTAAATCAAAGGTGGCTTTTGGAGCGAGCACCATACAAGAAGAATCGGCTGCATCCGTATTTGCAACTCATCAAACACCCTTATCTAGTGTTCAGAATGCAAATTAAGGCGGCAGTATTTGGGATATTAAATACAATAGATTCTCTTTCAGAGCAGACATAGGGGATTCATTCCAAGCTAGCAATAACACCCATCCTATCCCCTCCAAAATTCAATGGCTTTGTTCATTTGTTCACAAGTTATTTTTGTTGCAGATTATGGGTCTCTAAAGAGAGGACAGGGTAGAAAGAGAGATGACATAAAAGACAGTGAAGCAAACACTGGTGAATGTTATGAATTCTTGCTCAACCCACAGATTTCTCAAATTGTGTGAATGTTTTCAGATAATTAAGTAAGCATTAACTCTATGTGCCTCTTTAAAATGAATCCCACTGCATAGTCAGAGCAGATAAACAAAGAGTTTTCTCTTGTTCTAGCACTGAATGATCACTGCTTTCTGATTTCTCTTCCTCCAATAGGCAATTGTGGATTTTAAATTAGCAGAAGGTGAAATTCTATTTGTCATCAATTTCTCCTAGGGGTTACAGAGCAGAAAACTGCAGACAAGCTGCTTCTTTGATGGCTCACTCCTAAAAATCTCTTTTTGTTCTTTATCTATTTGAACTGACAGCGATCAGAGCTACAGCAGGACAGGCCTCTCTGGAGAAATCACCTTCCCCCTGTCTATTGACAGATTCCTCTGTTCTGAATCAGACAGGCCTTGTCCCATCATAGGCATCAAGGCCTTGGAAGTAGCCACCAATTAAACCTCTTGAGCCAGTAAAATCTGAAGCCACTTTTGAGTGTCTGTTCTGATTAGCCAGGATGAGACAAAGCCCATCACCCCCCCCCCAGCCCAGAGCAGCTCCCTGGTCTCAATTTTCTCTCTTGCCTTCACCAGGTGCGAGAGGTGTGAGAGGAGCTTCACACAAGCCACCCAGCTGAGTCGACACCAGAGGATGCCCAATGAGTGCAAGCCAATAACAGAGAGCACAGAATCAATTGAAGTGGATTAACTGATTGACTGGTTGGAATTAAACTGCAAGGAAAGTCATGATTAAATGTCACGGACACTTAAGCAAAACCAAAGATTTCCTCTGAGCAACTTTCAATCAGTCCCAGAAAACCAAAAGCAGTAATAAAATAAGTAAGATGTTAAGAGATATTGATCCTGGCGTAGAAGTGAGACCAGGAAAGAGATTATTTATTTATGACTAGGGATGAGTCTTATTTCAATTGACAAGTTACTTGGGACTGTTAACATTTCAAGTCCCGCCATGTATTGCTTTAATTCTGAAAGCCTTTATAATTGTTATTTAATGCCAAAGTGAGGAATCTCAAGGGTTCTTCTGCCCATAGTTATGACTGAGAATGCACATGGACTTGTTTATTGTTGCACCTTTTTTTGTAGCATGACTCAAAGGACACAGATGTAATCTGTACATTTGGCTGGGCTGGGCTAAGTTGATCTTGACATGGCTATAATAGAAATTGCTGTGCGGGATGGGAAGTGATCAAGAGCTATATCTGGGTCAGTGTCAGCCTCCTCAGACCAACGGGCATTTCATTTCCATAGTCTCATTCCTCACACTGTGTGCACTTTTTCATGCAAGTAGTTTCATTCAACAGCATTGCATTGGCATAGATATTCTGGAAAAAAAAGGGAAAAAAAAGGGGAAAAAAAAAAGAAAAAAAAAAAGAATGTTGTATATCTGCAAATATAGATTATATAAAGAAGCCAGTAGGAAAACTATGTTAAACTAACAGAGCTCTTAAATTCAGTCTAATAGCTATGAAACACAGAGATGGTAGAAAATATTTTAAATGTTTAAGATTCCAGTCTACGTGTAAATCATACTATGAGGAGCAAAAAAATAAGATGATGGTTTTTGTTTGGGTGATTGATTTAATTGCTTGCTGATTTCTAGGAAAACTGATCAGAAATCTAAGCCGAGATCCATTCATATTTCTATGCTGTTGGTTTGGATCAAATTGAAAACGCTCCTGTATTAGATGAAACTTTCAACATACTTGGGTTGAGCTTCAAAACAAAAGCTAAATCTGAACTCAGATACTTTGTAAATGACTTGGAGGCTTCATAGTATTCACTTCATGGAAATTTGCCTGGTACAGTTGTGAATGAAAGGAAGCCAAAATATTCCCAACACCAATGTAAAAAGCTCAGATGTCATTACATTTGTTCACTTTAACAGTTTCCATATTGGCTTTTTTCAAGCTTTTATTCTTGATGTATTTCAGATTTCATGATTTTCACTTTTTGAGACCAGCAGTGTTTGTTTATATATTGATTGTCTTAATGCTAGAGCTGTAGTTTGATAAAAATGTAAAAAAAAAAAAAATAAAAACCACACAGACACACAAAAAAACCTACAAAAAAAAAAAAAAAAACAACCAAGAAGAAGCAAAACCTAAACAGTTCTGAGGTCATGCTATATCATAAGGTAAAACTGCAAAATAAATTTGTGGAGTTTATGGGGATTAAAACAGATCCATTCAGTTTTGCACCAAAACTGAAGTGCTAGGTAGCTCATAAGGGCTCAGTTGATTATATTAAATATTTTAAAAACATTTATGGGGATGATTTTAAATATGTAGAGAATTAAGTATCCAGTTCTGTAAAGGGCTAGACAGAATCAGCTACAAATTTAATAACAGGTTCAGACCATTTATGAATTCTGCAAAGAGCTCAAGCAGAAAAAGAGCATACAGTAAAATTCAAATACATTTAAAAGGAATTTAGAAGGTAAGGCATCCTTACTTCAGGATGTTTGTTTATTATATTGCAGAAACTACACTGCAGAATCTGGAGTTTCCAAAGCTTTGCAGGGAATTACTTCAGGAGTTACTGTATTTGTGTTTGGCCGTTAAAAATGTAAAATATTGTGGAAAACAAAGATTTTTTTTATCATTGTTCTAACAAGTACCAGATTATGTCATAAAGAGGCTATCGGCCCTGTGAGTTTTTCAGCTCTGTTTCTCAGTGCAGAGATATGGGGAGTGAACAATTCTGTTGTCACTTGCCTGATTTTATCCTGAAAGCTATGAGAGATTCTTGGCTACTATATAAATGTGTTTGTTTGTTTGTTTGTTTGTTTGTTTGTTTGTTTGTTTAGGTTCGAAGAAGCATGGGAAGCTGGGTAGGAAGAATTGTAAGTTAAAGGTGACTATTTGAACATTGTTTTGTTCCTAGCAAGGCTGATCAAACAGAAAAAACCAAAATCTGATCCTAAACCTTTCAGACCCTGACGCCTGACACCTTCCCTTATTTAAGAGACTTAATGTAAAGTAACATCTTGGTGCGGTACCAGCTTTTAGTTAACATTTGAACAGCAGCTGTAGATCATTTCTGCAAGAAAACAGGTATTCTCACAAAAACAGAAAAGCAGAAATACATAAATAGAGCAAGTGGGAAAAGAGATACGTCATGCTCTGAAAAGCAAATGTGAGCTATCTGTTAGATCACTGACTTGTGCTGTTGCATTATCTAACTGTGCTCTCCTGTTCAGGGATGTGGTTAGTGGTAGTGCAGAGCACTCAGCCTCTTGCAGAAAAGGCTTTATATTTGAATCCTATAATGCAAATAGCACGTAAGTATGTGCTTACAGATATTGCAAGTTCTCTGCTGAATATAGATAAGCTTACTCATATGTTTTTAATTAAACATGTGTCTAAATATTCTCCTGAATGGGTGTGAAGTAGAGATCAATTATTTCAAGATTTTACGGGATTTTTAAAAAAATGCACCAGAGTAAGATTTCTGCAGAACTTACTTTTTTCTTCCAAATAATTCTTTCTTGTGTAAATCACTATGTTGTGCCAGATGCCTAAGCACAATTTCAGTTACTGTATTATTTTGTACATGGCACTTTCACAACAGATTTGGCAGCATACAAAAGCAGTTCAATGAAAAGTCATGATTTCATAGTGGGTTTTTCTCGAGTACAACATTTGGCATTCTGTTACAATACAGCAAACGAAAAACTAACATGGACAAGCTAAAATACATCTTAGGTTTGGACTAAACAGAATCTAGTTCCTGTCTGCACTTCCCAAATGCTGAGTGAGTTTCTGTTCATGTATTGACAGAACAACCATACATTTAGGTCTATTATGAATACAGTATGTGTTTGCACACAGTAAACTGAAGCAGTAAGTGTAGTACAATTATCTTTAAATGTAGTGATTATGTGCCTGCCATTTCAGAATTTCTGAAACACTTGGCATCTCTGTTTTGTAGTCTGGTAAATAAATACAGGCTTGGGTTTTGGTTTTTTTTTTGTCCAACCCTGAACACATTGGAAGTCATATTTGAAAATCATGCCTAGTTGTCATTTTTTTTTTTTTTTCAGTGTGGCGTTCAATTAGGTACATCTATAGAGTTATTCCTTTCAGAAAGATGTTAGGTCCTTTTTGAACCTGCAGTTATAGACCCCAAATATGATCTTCTTTAATACAATTTGATTGTCTTCTCATGAAAGAAAACTGAATTGAGAATAACGTAATAATTACAGCACATTACATACTAGAAACTTACAAGCAATGATATGTATATCTTTTCTTTTGGTAACATCACCTCTCTTTTTAATTACTATTTATTATTTGTATGGTGCCATTACTTACGTGATGCTGTCTTATAACTAACAAAATGATGTGATTTCAGATGAATAAATAGGCGAAAGTCCAAAAGTAAGTCCTCATTGCTTTTGAGAGTCATCTGTTGCTATGAATTTTTTTTTTTTTAAATTACAATTAAAGCACTCTTCTGTTCCACCCCAGTTCTTTCCTTATCCTGTGGATAAGATTCCAGAAGATAAAATACTCTGGGACTGCATGAATTCTTTTTTTTAATATTTTGTCTAGAATTTGGAAGTTTTGACGTCATCAAGCCAATCTGAAAAAGCGCATAAATCCACCCAGTAGATATAGAGTATGCTGAAGGGGTCCTCTGTTGTAATAAAAATAACAATGACACTGTAATTAGAAAGGTAAGCAGCTTGCTTGCAGTTTTTAAACTTCATAAAATTGCATCTTTTTTACTGCAAAGGACCAATTAAGTCATGCATGTAGCTGTATTCTTGTGATATCAACAGTAAAGATTACATTGTGTTTAAATGAAAGTAACAGGCACACATTTAAAAAGAAGACGAAGAAATGTAAATATATTTGATTAATAAAACATTTCTATTACCATATCCTAAGCCTTTGTTTTATGTTAAGATTACGTATGGAATTTTGTGCATGCTATGCAGAAAACCAAATATGCTTAAATGTGTGTGCATTTAAGGTAGCCTCAAATAATCACAGTGTCTTGCTTTAATTTTCATTATGAGCTTCCAAAAGGGGTTTGCAGCTCGGATGTTGCGAACTGATTTGCAGTGAGAAGAGAGTGAGATCCAGTTCAGTTTTCTTGGTGCCTGGGTCCCAATACTCCTGTTGATGTAATGATGAGGGCACAGAGCAGTCATAGGCTCAAGCAATTACTCAACCATGTTTTGGAATTTGTTTGTATACATTTATGATGCAAATCATGTCATATTGTAACCAAGTTTTTCTATTTTGCATACTAGAGTGGTTTTGGTTTGGGGTTTGTTTTTTTGGGTTTTTTTTTTTTTTGTGGTTAATGGCCTCAGTCTGGTTTAGTTACCTGAATCCTGATTTACAAGGATCACCATCTAGTGGACTAAGACAGAATTTCAAAACTCCAGTTGATGTGATGTCCAAGTTAATTTTTTAAAAATCATTCTAAAACCAAAGCTAAAAGCACTAGCTACGCTCCACTGCAACGGACATTCAGTGCCTTTTTTAACATTATTTCACTGCCATTCTGTATGTCAAAGAGCAGTGATTAGTTCACTAAGTCACCCCTTGTTCCACTTGAAAAAATACTACTTGAGTATGAGAAAAATATGTCAGTTTCTGTCATTTTTCATGTTATATGACCTTTTACATAAGCACCAGAACCACTGCGGTAGAATAATTGTGCAAAACTACTGTA